GATGTACACCTTCCACCTTACTCTTCCCCACTGCATTGCCCCACACACTCACAATTAGTTTGACTGAAAGCTAGTTAGAAGAGTCTCAGAAATAGCCTATTGCTTTGTGTGTAGGCGAAACCTCAAATCAATAAGGGGAGAAAGCCCATGTCATACACATAAAAGGGGAGAGGAGAGCCTCCAGATATATAACAATCCACTGGGTACCACCAATTAATTTATGCATTAGAGGTTTGGAGAGCATTCTCCTTAAAAGAGAAAGAGATGTAAGACAGCTCATAAGGGATCCCCAGTGTATTAGGCCTGAGAGGAGGAGTTCTATATTTGGATGGTAAAAGGAAGTGAATTAGCAGTTTGGATTGGCATAAGAAAGAACAGTGCTGGCTTGGAGAAATCCCCAGTGCTAGTACGGATGCTTCATTCAGTCGTTCAGTATTAGTCACTAACAATACCAGCAGCATAGTTAGACTTTGCTCCTTTGCACTAGCCATTTTGTTTCTCTCCTGGTGTTTTCTTCTATGTGTTTGCTTTAAGTATTACCTCCTTCCACTGCTTCCGTCTTTCCATTCCTCACTGAGCCTTTCACTGATGCCTGCCTGATAAAAGGCTCCACATCTGATATTAACCTAAAACTTCCTTGATTCCTTAAAGTGAGTTATTCATTAACAGAAGCTATGTTACTGGTTGTTAGGCAAATCTTCTAATTCTTGCAAACCACTGATCTGCTCAGAGAAGCTTCTCTAAATCTACTGTAGAAATAAGTGAAGCTTTGTGCCAATTGTCCGCGCTAAGCAGAAGGTTGGGGGAGAGAGGAGAAGTTACTCATTTGCCCGATCCCACACGGCGAGTCCAGCGGAGGGAATCAAGTGTACAGCCAGCTGGCTTGACGAGCAGCTGCCAACAGGACAGGACAGGACGGGGCAGGAAGGGGCAGGGGCTACCCGGCTGCCTGCCTCTGAGCTCCATCATGGGTGCCAGCTGAATTACTCTAAAGTCAAGCATTTTGCCTTCTATTTCTTATGATGGCCAGAGTTTCCTGTGCTAAGAGGTATGGCTATCTTTTTCCCTGTCCTTTTGTTCAGCAAAAACAAAAGCTAATTAAAGTAAATGTCAGAAGCTGCAGTGATGAAGGAGTGGGCTGTGGGAGTGGGGCAGAGAAACTTCCAGGGGCTGGCTGATTATGCAGATAAAGCACATCGGGGAGTTGTGTGTCTAGCCCTGTATGCAGGCTTTTCGGTTATTAGGGTAAAAAAGCCACCTCTCTGTGGGTTATTAAAACATGTCTCTAGGCCTCAGGAGCAGAAAATTGTGCTTCTAGATTCATAGTATGTGCATTTTTGTTTTACTCCAAAACTGTCTGGGCTCATTTCTGTTTCACACTTTTGTTTACCTCAAGAAGTATCTTGCAACCTGCAAAGAAACTGGCCTTGCCTATGATTTTCAAAGAAAATGCAACAGCATCATTCCAGGCAGTGGGTTGAGCAGGCACCATTACCATTTATTGTTGCTCTCATTTTTCCTTTTGGTATTTTACTTATCTTACAAATCGCAATTGAATCAAACTATTTTTTTGCTCTTTCAAATACATATTTAAGTTGCTATAGTAATCAACTATTGGATTCCATGACATTGTAAATTGAAATGTGGAGGTTTTCGATTTAAGGAACAGAAAAAGTACTTAAGGCATTATTTGAATTGGTCAATGCAGGTGCTTAATATATGGAATTTAAATGTAAATAAAGACATGTTAAACATTGAATTTTCTTTGTAATTTGAGAGTTTGGGTATGTTTTCTGGAAAAAGAAACCTACAAAATTTGAATTAAAAAAATTTAGCAAGATTTATGTTGATTATTAATATTTATATTGATATAAGATATAGTCAATGTATACCAAGATTTATATCAATTAAGAAAAATATGACCTGCAAAGTCAAAATTTGTGAAAATGGATACACTATGAAATCATTATTACAGATCACAAATTCTCGGTTAAGAAAGTTTGTTAGACTTGAAGATATTTCCCTCATTCCCAAAGAAAGAAAATATTTCCTGTCTGTATTTCAATAAATCGCAATATGTATTCAAAATTAAATGTTTCTTGAGCTCTTGCCTAAACAGGTCACCAAACCTATTTTTTGTATGTGCTTATGATAATTAACCTGCTACAAATTTAGATTGTATGAGTTCTAGAAAAAGACCAAGGGCTGAGTCCTTTTGCATCGTTTGGAATAACCCAGCCTCAGAGGCTTTCAGTAGAAGTGAATGAAGCAACATGTCATGGCAGAGGAAACTGAGAGACGCACAGGGAACAATAGACATCTTGTGGGAAGGGCTGAAATGTATGCGGCCAATTCCCATGGGAACGCCTGTAGCTCTTTCACACTGTGTGAAAAAGATGCTCCTTGAAAAGAATCTTTAATCCTTTCTTTCGAGGGAAAATCTGAGAACTTTATAGAAAGTTTCTAGAACCCAAACGGGTCTAAGTTAGTCAGTGGGCATTTATAATACCGGTGAATAAAATAAGATTTTGATGTGCAGTAGTGTTGTCCAAAATATAACGTAAATAAATGTTGCTATTCTGGAATTTTCTAAAGTGAAGAAACCTGAGAATACCCTAATCCCAAGTTGGAAGCCAGAGGCTAATTTTCTCAGAATAAGTTGGCTTTCTGAGTTAATTATGTTTATTGAAATTCCCCCCAAAGAGGTTCAACTTTTTCCACAGGTGGTATCCTAATAGTGGGGCAATTAAGTCCACTGGTTCATGTGTATTTTTATTTCATAGATCTACTGAAGAATCATAGAATAAACCGGCAATGTTTTATTAGTGCCCATTGAGCGCAGGTCACCTTGAAAAGTCATAAAGAACTTTCCCTCTGGTACCCTGGAGGGAATTATACACTCCGTTCTCACTAATAAATGTGGGAGTGAGCACTACACTTACACAGAAAACTCAGGTATTTGGATTATCCAACCACAAAAAGTCTGAGATGCATTGTATTTCAAACCATTTCCACTCTAAAAAAATATATCCAGTTCCTGTTTAGCCAGGGGTGAGGGTAAGGCTATCTCTCCAGGGAACAAGTCTGCCAAAAAATCAATAGGGACACTTTCAAGATAGTGCATAAACTACCCAGATTTAAGTTTTGGAGGAGAGTACAGCTAGGATATAAATATGACCCAGATGGAAAAGACCTATGCATCTTTAACATGTGAACTCAGTGTTGGGCAGAAGTATAGTGGCTTATTAGCTCTTAAAAGGGATGGCCTAAGGACATGTTAACAGGGAAATGATCTACAAGAATAATGACATCATTAGGGATGTGATTGCTGTTACTTGTGTGATTGCTATATGCTAGGTTCTATGTTGAATGCTTTATATAATCTCATTAAATCTCCCAACAGCCCACATCACAATCCTCAGGTGCAAATAAGGAACCTGAGGCTCAGAGAGGTTAATTAATTGGTCCTGATTTACACTGCAGGTAATGGCATAGCTGAGCCCAGTTGTGTCTGGGTTCCCTCCTCTCACCACTCTGCTCTTCTTACTGGGGTCCTAGAAAATGTCCAATTCTGGACCCTAGACTCCTTTAAAAATGTAAGAATATCGGATAAAATCTAGCAATAAGAACCATTAATAATGAATAGAGAATGAAGAAGAGGGAAGCCTAAAGAAATAGAGTCTGTTCCTTTAAAAGAGGAAACTGCATCACCATCTGTAAGCCAGAAAATTACTAATGAAAGGCTACACCTACTCATGGCTGACTGGATGCCCCATTTTTATAAAGCAAACTCTTCAAAGGAATTCTCCATATGTGGATGACATAAAAATGTGATTGATCATCAAATGTCTGGAAAGGTCATTCCCCTGGAGCATAGGACCTTGTTCAATGGCAGGTGTGTCGTCACTCGGACCACATGCCTTTGCAGGGTAGCACTCTTGGGAGTCATATCGTCGTGATCACACAGATGAATTTGTCTGCAGCTCAGCTTCCTGTACATTTTGCCAGCAGATAGGTGGTTTGATGGGCAATAGACCCTCTATAAGGACAAATTAGAGGTAGAGAGTAATGCAATTGAAAAACATGTTTTCTTTAAGATTTATTTAAGAAAGTGCAGGTGCGAGTGGCAGAGAGACTCTCAAGCCGACTCCACACTGAGCACGGAGCCCTACAAGCGAGATCACAACCCTGAGATCACAACCTGAGATGAAACCAAGAGTCCAAAGCTTAACCAACTGCACCCCCCAGGCGCCTCTATAAACATGTTTTCTTAATGCACCATTAAGCGTTGACATCTTTAAGTGTTGAGAGTTTCAGGATCTTTTTCTCCTCTAGAATGTCAGTAAGATGAAGCAAGACAAACATTTTCTCTGAGTGTCACTGCAATATTTAACGTATCTGACTTAAAGTGCAAATCCAAGTGGATTTTTATGAAGAACCTCCCAGAAAATAGAGTGGAAAAAAAGAAGGTATGCATTTTGGTTTAGTGATTTGTTCATTTTAGTAGCAACTTCCTGCATCCTTAAATTTACAACAATATTAATCTAGAGGCAGAGCAAGAGGATCACTGCTTTAGGAGCTGTGACTCACAGGACAAACGCTCAGTGTCTCAAACTCTGGGTGTGAAATCTTGAGAGGGAGGGAGGCGTTCATGAAGCTGCAGCCCTCTCTTCCCCAGGCTTTGTGAAATGGCTCCCAATAGCCATTCCATTCACCTGCTGGAGTTTCTGTTGAGACTGTTTCCTGCGTGGCTTTTTCTACCCCCCTCCACCCCATTCTTCCCAGGGAAAGTATAGATTTTCACGAACACAGGGGGTTTTGTGTTCTCTGTTAAAAACAACTTTACTTTACTGGGGCAGGCTTTCTGTTTCACCCCCGGAAACAGAGCATTTCTCTGAGGCGACTTTCCACTGGGTGAGGTGCAGCCTGTCACCTGACCAGCTCTGAAGCTGCCGGTGGCGTTGGGCTGCATTCCTGGAATTCTTCCACCCGGCACCGGCAGCACAGCAATGAGCAACTTCAGGTTCACTGAGCTGAGTGGATTCCACTCGCTGTGCCCTCGGAGTCCGCTGCTTGAATCTCCCGCCCAGTCTCAAAACATACAGCTGAGTAACAGCAAGCTGCCCGCCTTTGAAGAGTAGCACGCAGGTAAAGCCAGTTTGTGGGGACAGCTGGGACTCCCTGAAATGTGTCAGGTGTGGCGCATAATCATTTTTGTGTGTGGTGTCTGCTTCTCCGTGCAGAAACTTGACTTGTCAACCAATACCTGCTTAAAAAATAGATACTTATATTAAATAAGGAGAAAGTGGGCTTCAGAGTAGGGTCCCTTAAGGAATAGGGAGAGAAATTAGGAGAGCAAAAGCTGGGAGTAAGAAGGAATTCTATAAGCCAGTTTTTGTAATTCCAAAAGTATGAGATTTGAGGCTGACCTATCTGGATGTGAATCTTGGCTCTGTGTGTAACCTTCGACGAGATGCCTCACCAGTCCTGTTTCCTCTTTGGTAATAATATCTACCTGCCAGGTTGATGGGAGAACGGAGAAGAAAGTATCTAGCAAAGAGCTTGGTGCATAGAAAGCATCTGAGATGCACACATATGTGCATTCGTGTGCACATGTGTATGCTTGTGTGTATTCGGTGGGCGCATCTGTATATATGGATATAGGCCACAGGACTCTGGCATTCATAAGGGTAGGGAGTTTCGCAGAGGATGAGGTTGAACTTGATCTGTCTCTGACCTTCTCTGCTGTTGCAGAGAGATCAGCCTGGGAAGCCAGACACCTGAGAAAAACATTGACCAGGGCTGCTGAAAAATAAATAACATGCCTTGCTGATCCTTATCCAGGAAGCGGAGGTATAATGTACCATGTGGGGTGCTCTTTACATGAAGACCGATGGAAGCAAGGCAGCTCAATAATTATCACACATGGTCATGTATGCAACTGACAGGGCTTTGTTCTGGGAGACCAACTGCCTTCAGTTCTGACTCTGCAGCTTACTCTCTGGGTGTTCCTGGGCTGGTTACTTTCCTCTCCGAACATCAGTTTCTCATCACATGGAATTGTCGTGAGAATTAAGTGACTCAGTCCTCAGGAAGCACTCATAGTAGTGCCTGCCACATGGGAAACACCTGCTAAACATTAGCTCTTGGTGTCAGTATTTGACAAAGGGCTCTTTTGTGTGTTATTAGCTTTGATCTTCAAAACAACCTGGTGAGGTAGATGAGGCATGCATTAGCCCCATTTTGCAAGTAAAGAAACTGAGGGTGAGAGAAGGGAAAAGCATGAACCAAAGGTCCAACAGCCATTGAGTGGCCAGGCTAGGCCTTGAACCTCAGTCTGCAGACCAGCAGCTGACTTAGTATATCTGCAGAATATGTGCACTAAATGAAACCAAATCCTAAAGTGTCTGGCCCAAACACCATTTCCTTAACAAAGCTATTCCTTAGCATCTTCCCCTAGGAGAGATCTTTCTCTCCCTTGTACTTCCCCAAACTTCCTTTTATAGGACAGAGGAGATTTTCTCTGGGTCATCCTTGTACCGTAGGATGTTTGGTGTTAAGTCTCAGCTCTCCCTACCCCACCCTTCAAGGTGTGAAAGTTCTCATGGACGGCGGTGTTTTGAACAATACTGTTTTGTACATGATGGACACTCAAGAGTAACAGCATGAATGTAGGGCTCCGTACCAGGGGTCACTGTAAGTGTGGAGAGCAAAGAAGGAGCCCAGGGAAAGCCTGGGGTGCTCCTCTCCACCAGCACGTATTTCTGCTCATTCTTGGAGCTCCAGCCGCACTATGTCTGGGGCAGCTGACTCTGCTTCAGGAACGATGAGATATTGACCACAAGCTGGCTGGTCAAGGTGAAATCATTTCCAATGTCCATACAATGTCTTATTTTCCTGAATATTATTTTACTGAGACCCTGTCACTGCAAATGTCTGAGGCCAGGGGGAGAAATGTGTTCAGGGGAAAATTCAGGAAAACACTGTCCTAATTTTTCCTGTAGATGCTGTATTCCACCCTTCCGCATTTGCAAGGGTGCGTTCTACTTTGTAGGACTCTCACTCTGCTCTCTCTCCACCCCAAAAACTACCCCCCCACCCCATCCCCAGCCAAATCTCCTGCTTTTCTTTTCCTCTAAGCTTCTCTTCCTTGTGACTTTCCTGCTGTCTTGTTGGCCTTGATCCCAGGGCATAGATGGGCAAGAATGCAGGGTCCCTCCTTCCCTCAGTGTCGGAGGGAAGAGAAATTCCTTTTCATGCTTTATCACCCTACCCATATCTTCATCTTCAAATGTTAATAATGCTCTGAGGGCTTTTACTCCTAACAGTAGCTGCACACGGAGCCCTACGTGGAATCAACATACCATAGTGGTTATGAACCTGGAGCCTAACCCTGGAGTCTCTGGGTCCAAATCCCAGCTCTCCAGTTTGCTAGCTGTGTGGCTGGGGCAAGTTATTAATGCCTTGGTTCCTCACCAGTAAAATGGGGATGAAATATCCTCATATAGTTATTATGAGGGTTAAGTGAGTTAATGTTTGCAAAGCACCTAGGACAGAGCCTGGAACAAAGGTAAGCATATGTAAGTATTGTCATTTTTCTAGAGCTGGTCGTTAGCACAAAAGTTTCATGTAGGTAATATTACCCTTGATACAACTTCAGTGGCTACAAAATGCACTGATATATCTTATTTAACTGAGCACCTGGTGAAGGATTTGGCTTGTGTGTGTTTTGTTTTTTGTTTTTAAGATTTTGTTTATTTATTTAAGAGAGAAAGAATGAGACAGAGAGAGCATGAGAGGGGGGAGGGTCAGAGGGAGAAGCAGACTCCTCGCCGAGCGGGGAGTCCGATGCGGGACTCGATCCCGGGACTCCAGGATCATGACCTGAGCTGAAGGCAGTCGCTTAACCGACTGAGCCATCCAGGCGCCCAGTTGGCTTGTGTTTAGAGACCATATTGCGTGGGGAGTATGTATCTTTAAGCTTTAACATTTCATTCAGCACGCAGAGGTGCCTGCACAGTGACAGCTCAGAGGGGAGGTCTGAGATCACCTAAGGGAGCAGCAGACTCCCCTCTGCCTTTCACACTCATCCTGGAGAACACATTCCAAGTGAAATGCTAGGCAGAATTGCCTAGTGTTTAGATGCTTATATTAAATAAGTCACCCCCAGCTCTCACTCTCTGAACATGTGTCTGCATTTGTAAGTTACATGAGCTGACTCCACTTCATTGTAAACCAGGGAGGAACCCCACTGGCCTGAAATCAAGAGAACAGCACTGTAGTTACCATGGAGCCTTTGGGAAGTCATTAACTAAATGATGGCTAAGGTCTCTACCAGTGCAAATGGTCTGTGATTTTATTAGGCCCATAAGGGAGCTGATGAGAAAAATCAGATATTTAATTTGTGCCATTGCCCTTCTCTCTGTGGACTGTTAATTGAGTAAGAAGTATAGTGGGACTTTATTATTTCAATTGTGGGAATAGAGGGAAGACTGCCTGATCCCAATGCCTTCCCTCTTTAGCCTGCATCGCAATGCTATCACTTTCAAGTTCAGTGTTCAAGTTCAAATTCACACTCACATTCAGCAGAGATCTATGTAGCCTCATACTCCCAGACAGAATCCTTTCTTTAGACAGTATATATGAATAAAGCAAGTATTCAGATCACCTATTGGACGTAGGTTTGGGAGAGCTTCTGTTGTCAGTATAGGAAAGAAATCCAGCCAAGGAGGCAAGCACTGGTTTCCCTATCCAGGAAAAAAGAGAAAACCAGGCAGTGGTTCTAAGAGACGTTTTCTGTGTTCCCTCTTTCCTTTCATTGCCCTTTTCTGTTTGGTTTCCATGGGAATCTGGGGGGATATCTGGTGAGTGTTGGGCATATCGGTTGCTCATCCACTTGTTTCCTTGTGGCGTGGAGAGGAGAGGGATATAGAAAGGAGAAAAGTAAGTGTGAGGGTTAAGCAGCTTTTTAAGGTTCACAGTAAATTCTAGAGAAACCTAATAATTTTTTACAAGACCTTTTGGAAAAAAGCAAAACAAAACAAGGGAAGAGCTCATTCGAAGGTCATCAAGTCAGGATCTGTTACTCTATGCACATTTCCAAAGTCTTTCCCCACCCCCTCTGCTGGGCATCAAGTTCGTATTCTGAGCTCATGCCATTCTACTAGCAGTTTTATCCTATCATTTGTTTCTTTTCCAGAGAGAGTCAAAGAAGACCTCAAATTCTGGAGAAAAATGACCTTTCAAGGAATACAAAGTATACTTCCTGCCGCATGTTTTTTGTCTTACTAACTTCTGATGACTGAAACATATGGTCCTGGGCCTGCAGAAAGTCCATTGATTATCAAACTCCTCATCATGCATCAACTGTTCAGACTGGTCTTAGGACAAAAAGATCTTTCACGAGCTGGGGACCTCTTCTCCTTAGATGACTCCGAGATTGAAGACAGCCTGACAGAAGCTTTGGAGCAAATTAAAATAATTAGCTCATCTTCGGTGAGTAAACTAGTTTTTAAACTAGACACCCGGAATGACCTATTCCAGAGCCGAATGACTGTACATATGTTGGGGGAAAGGATCTTTGCATGGGGAAAGAGGAAGGACCACTTAATCCTGGTTCCTTTTAACCCAGCTCTGTGGTTTAGTTTGGCGTCTAAGAAATAACACAAGGGCAATCATTGACTTAGGAGGCTGCCTTCTGCCCACCCCTGGAGACCAGAACTCTGGAAATTTCAGACCAGAGTGGAATTATCACAAAAGGCTTATCTAAGAGCTGTTTTTCTAACCTTGAAATGACACGGGAGAGGAGAGGGAGCAAATCCCAGGAAAAGCAGATGGGCCAGGCTATACAACAGCTTCAGTAAACAAAGCAGGGTGTGTGGAGGAGGGTGAATAATGAAAGAAGGCAGGATGACACCTCCTGACATTAGGTAATAGGAGACAAGGACAAGGATCACTCTGTTGCCAGAAGTGACAGTTGCCCAGGGCTTGATAACACTGATTCTATGTATTTCTATATAATTGCCATTAAAAAAAAAATCTCTCATTTTACTCCTTTTTCTATACCCACCCATTTAATTCAACTCACCCATCATTAGCCCCCAGTGTGATCAGACAAATTTAAAATCCCCATCAACCCTCCCATTCCTTTGTTTCTCCTCAATGTCAAGATTATATATTCTGAAAGCACTTCCCAAAGGGGGTGGATGGGCATGCCCAGTGTGGTTTGCTTTTGCCCTTCTTCATTGTGCTTGGACCCTCCATGACATTAGTTCCATTTCAAAGGCCAACTCTCCCGGGCATCTCTTGCGTCCTCCCAGCTCAATAGCGTTTGCTATCACTTGGCACAAACAGCGCCCCCGGGCACAGGAAAGAGACGGGACTTGAGCCATAAAATACTGAATTACCAATGTGTGCACATTTCACAGATCACAGCTTTCTTCCATCTTTTAATGAAGAGATGTTTAGAAGGCATACCAGCATCCAGCGCAGCTTCCTCCCCAAGACAGTCAGCCTGCTCACTTATTGGCTGCCATGAACACACCATGCCCCCCCTGTGGCCAATGAGGTCATTGCCCAAACACTCTTTTCGCAGCTAATGTCTTTGACAGCAATTATGTGTCCACATTTTTTTTTCCCCCAGAATGTTAATCAGCTTAGTCTGACTCAAAACACAAAGTATTCCTGGTACATTGCCACTTTCCGGGCAGGATTTGTGTGCTATTTCCAGCAGCCCCATCCTTCACACTCTTGTGGAAATGAATTGGCTGAATATGCCACTGATTTTCATCTTATCTAATAGAAAAAAAAATATATATATATATATATACATATATATATAAGCTCCCTGAAGCCTATATCCACTAGAGGTCACTACTGTCAGTGATTTCTTTAGTTTTCTTCATCAATTGCTTATTTTAACAGATGTCAAATTCAGAATTTTAGGACCGGTAAGTTCTGTTATATATCCCCACTCTTAACCACTAAGGCAGGCAGGTCCCTTGTCACCAGGAGCACCGTCTGTCTTTTAAGCCCTCTGATCAGCATCCCACCAGACCAGCAGGGCTGGAGAGCTAGTAGTTCTCCTGTGGTCTTCACCTGCTAACTTCAGTCACCTCTCACTTCTTCTATTTCTCCACCTGTAACAGGGGCATGAGCAGATGGTGGCAGAATAAAAAGAATTCGTTTTTAGAGGGATTGTGCAGATCAGTCCATTTTTCTGTTTGTTACTCAATCCTAATTATAAGCATGTCTCAATATAGAATTCCTTCTCCCGCTCCATTCCTTTTAAAGCCAGTTCAAGTTTCATTATTCCTGAAATAGCTTCTAGTGATTCTAGTTCTTAGTGATTACTTCTTTCTAAAAACACATAGTTGTACTTTGGCATTATACTCTGTTCTTTATAGAAAATCATCCATTCATATGACCTCCTCCAGGGCAACTTCTATACTAGGGAATCCCAGATCTATGTTTTCAGCCTTGGATCTCTCCTCAGCCTCAAGCCCCCAGCTGATACCCATGATCTCAAAACTCAATCTATCTGAATTAGAAGTTATCATCTTTCTTTCAGCTGTACTATCACTTTCTTAGATCTCCAGGTTTGCAACCTGGAGTTACTCTTGACCTTTTTCTCTCACTCTCTCCTTTCCCTGTTGTTCTGTGGACACTGCCTGAGAAATGCCTCTTCACTGGCTCCTTCTTTTCCCTTCCTGCTGCTATCCCCCTGGCTCAGGCCATCAAAACAATTTTGATCTTCTTGCCTTTGATCTTACTGTTCTCTAGTTCAGTGTACTAACAGTTACCTGATTAAACTTCCCAAAGAAGATTTTATTGCATGTATCCCATTGTTCAAAACCTTTCCATGAAGCTTCAATGTCCATGACATTCAAATGACCAATGCCAGTGATTAGTCCACTGAACGACCATGTCTACTCTATGGCTCACTTCCCTGTTACCTGTATCCCATATTTCCCTTATTAGGGCTTTCCTAATGACCCTGGATCTCAGTAATCAATTCTACTTCTCAATTCCTCTTTACAAACAAAGAACTGGAAGGGATCTTCTAAATCATCTTTTCCAACTTCTTTCCAGCACAGAAATCCCTCCTTTAGGATTCCTGACAAACAGGTGACCTCTCTTTCTACTCTTGCAATGATGAGAACATAGTAAGTTTCTGATATTTTTTTTCCTACTCCTCAATTTTCCTTTTATAAATTTCTCCTTGCCATTGCATGAAGCCTCGTTGGAGCCTTCAGTCAGTTTTCTACCTTGTCCTTGCCAGGAGAGCAGAGAGGGAAAAAGTGGGGGCACCTGACTATGCCAATCAGATCTTTCCTGGTAGTTCTAGAAAAAAGTCAGCAGAGGGTTATTTGTCATGGTGATGGTGCTCCAAAGAGATAGTCCTTTGTTACAGTTATCCAAACTTTTTCTGTTGCTTATGACCAATCCTAACCTACGAAGAGACCATTGCTGCACTGTCAGAATTTTAAATTGTTAGTGTGCTCCTCCTTTCAGCCAGATGAAATCTTACTCTTTGTATTTTCTATACATTGTTCTTTGGTCTGTTCATTGCCTCAACAATCAAAAGAGCATAATTCTATTCCTATAAGAACTTTAAACATATGAAGATAGGTATCAGGGATCGCCTCTAGCTTCTCTCTTCTCAGCTACACATCCTTAGTGTCCTAGTGTCCCTACGTTTTTCCATGACAAAGAAGGAGCCTATGGCAGAGAAAAGTTACACTACCTCACTTTTCCAGACTTGGGTCTGGAAGCTCAATTTTGTCAGTACGTGACAAATGCTATCCTAGTGATGCTATCCAAATGCAAGACTGAGTGCTGGTTTACCGATTTACAATGAAAATTATAATTCATGTCAGTCAGAATTTGTGTGCTTCCATCCGGTCCTCACCAAGTCTATTTACCCAGTCTTTCTCTGGACAATGGATACTATCATTGATTAGGTTTCCTCCTCTACTAAAATCACAGCCAGTCCTATCTCCCTATATTTAACTCACCTGTAGTCATGCGTGTACAGACAGCATGTTGGGTTAGCCCAGTAGTTGGTTAATCCCACTCATACGAGGGGATTTTTTTTCACTTAATCCTCAAAGGGCAATCTTGTTTCCATATTCTTGGAGGACGTCCTATTGTAGCTCCCAAGTACCGCCTACATTCTCAACATTCTGGTTTCTTTCCCCTGGAATCTTCCTAATTCATTATTGTAATTTATCAAGGCCAAGTACTGAAACCAACTGCTTGGAACAATTGCTGGTAATAGTCAGATACTCTGTTTCTAAAATTCCTCTTCGACAGTAACATCACACAATTGGCCACATTTATCCTGCCGTGTACCAGAACCCTCAGTTTGAATCAAGACTTGTAATTAGAGAACTTGAAAAATAAATTGTATGTGTATTGTGTCACATTTTAAACCAGTGTAATAATATTCTTGTCTTCAGGCCCTCATTCCAGGATATTCATACCTTTTAAAAATTATGATTCTGTCCAATATATTAGTTCTCATTCCCATCTTTGTAGAATCTGAAAATTTAGCAAGCAAGTCTTCAATCCTTTCCCTGAAGTCACTCGCACAATCACTGAACCTTCCTAAATTCCATTCTACAGTCCATGCCCTCTTTTCAACTAGTTAGTCCAAAACACCGCTGGGAGATAGTTTGTCCTTATGCTTTGCTTTGAAAATGCGACTGCTCACTCAAAATTCTCTCCAAGTTCCCCAATGCCTTTAAGTTTTGTCTTTTCATGTCAAGTCCTTTCTGGACTACTTTCATCTCCTACCCATTTCTTCTACTACCTTGGCTCTCCTCCCAGACTACTTCATCCCTATCCACTCATCCTCTTTTCCCACTCCTCCTTCCCCACCACGTTCCCTTTGCCTAACCCATACACCCACCTTCCAGTTCTCTTTACTGTTTTTTAAAAACCAATAAAAAATGTTAAGCATACACAAATTGCCCAGTTTTAAAAAGTAGATAGAATTGAAATCACCTGGATGTTTCTCTCTGCTTCAAATTTCCTCCCTTTCCTAAGTAACCAATATCCTGACTATGGTATTTATCCATGAGTGTTTTATTTCTTTGCTACACACGCATAGCTCAAACTTTATTTGTAGCATTGTAGTCCTTGTTTTAAAATTTTATATAAATGGTATCATAAGTTTCAATATAATGTTTCTGAGGCTTATGATAGTACAGGTAGTCCCAATTCATTTCTTTTTTGAGGGATGGAGTGTTCCACTCAATGACTATGCCTCAGTTTGGTTAGCCATTCTTCTTTTGATGGCCATTTACTACTTAACAGTGTTAAAGTGAACATTCTTTTGATGGCCATTTACTACTTAAACAGTGTTATAGTGAACATTCTTATAATCAGTGTTTTCGGCAAATGTGCTAGTATTTCTAGCAAAGACAACTAAGAGTGAAACAATGTTTTGGGGGTTTTATATACTTGCGGTTTCTGATATGCCACCAAATTTC